TGAAAAATAAAAGTTCAATTTTTTCCACATGAAGTCGATGGTCTATGAATAGAACAACACATGTCTCCATTTAGTCATTTGCGCTCTTTTAAATGAGGCATTACTAAAAAGAATTGGTCTGGAATTATGGGCACAGTAGCTAAAATACTGGAAATGGCGGTTGCGTTTTTCTAAAAATTGAAAAAAAACTGTGGGGGTTTTCGTAAAAATTTTTCTCGTCGAGTTTGCGGTTTCTAGGCAAAAAAGGTATGATATACCTAATTTTTTATCGAATGAAAGTGATTTAAAGAAAAAAAATTTGACCATGTTATGGCCTATAGAGGGAATGCTCTATTCTGTCGTAAATCGTCTCTTAATTTTCGGAAACGTGATTAGCATGGAAAATTTTAGTTTTTTCGCAGATTATAAGTTTAAGTCAAATATTTTTTTGGATGCTTGTTGGATTGTTTGCTTGTTCTTGAAACCGCTTTTAACCTAAACATTCTTTCAGACCGTCAAAAGAATTTAATTTCTGCGTTACTCTTGATTTCTAGTCTACTCTTCAGCATAGGTTTTCCCTTATAGGCATAAAACTTATTTTAAGTAAAAATTTATCCCAGATATTGAACTGTATGATACAATAATCGAAATCGAAAAATGATCATTTTCACTTTGTTCACCAAATGTGCACATCATTGCCTAGAATGGAAGTGCCGGGATGCAAGTGTTTTCGATCGAGAAAACCACATTCGTAGAGGAGGTCTTAACCGAGGAACTGCTCATTTCGTCAAGGTCCACCATCTTCAGTTTTGAAAGTGACAAAATATGAAATGTTGTTTTTTGATTCAGGCAAAACTACAGCAACAAAAATTCTAACTGATGCCATACTTGATGTTGAAGCAGCAATTGGTATCAAATCAGAAGATTCTCGTTTAAATAATTCAGTTTCCATAGAGTCGCTCTGCAATGAGCTCGAAAAGCAGCCCGATCTTTTACAGATCTGGGACGAATTCAACACATTCATCACGACAATGGGATTGTACAAGGTCGGCGAATTTCTTTCGCAAATAAATACAATATATGCAATTTTTATCATTTGTCTGTCACAGGTCGATAAAGCGGCTCACGATCGTTCCTGGTTCAATATGTTTTTTAATGGAGAAAAGATGAAACGGCGTCAAACTGTTTGCAAAAATACATGCATGCAAAGGCCACAACTGAATATTTGTTGTGCCGGGCAACCAATGACGGTAATAACGTCATTGGAGGAAAATGTTAATATTCCAGTGACTTTGGATGCCTTATTTGCTCGGTAAGTTTTCGCATCGTGTGATTTAAATATTGTTACCAAAGAAATCTCTATTCAATTAGATTTATCGTATGTGCACCACGTGCGAAAGCTCCAAAATCGGACGATTTTAAACCAATATGTCTTGATATTCCATCATTAATGCATTTTTTATTTGCAGTTTATGCGTTACATCGTGAAGTAATTATTCTTTATTAACGTATTTTCATATCGAGAAATTTGTTTTTTACTTTAGTGTCGACGCTATGAATATAGTGCAGAAGCAAAGGAAGCAATACGTTTCAAATTCAATCAATTTTCTGATATAATAAATGCAGTTAACTCTGCTAATGATACATTTTTGGCGAATGTTTATGGCAAATCACAAATTATAGTCGATCGTTTGGCAGGAGTACTTCATGTTGCGCTTGTGGCTTCCAAAGTTCTATGTACTATCATTTATTTTCATGCTTCTCATGCTGTTATATTTCATTTTCTCTTGTAGGTAATTGTCAGCCACCAATTGTGTATAATGTATTTAGTAAAGAGACAAGGCAACAAATAGCTAGTGAAGCCAAAAAACTGGTGAGAGAAGAAAAAGATATCTTTATTATTCACAAAACAACAGCGGAAAAGGCAATAAAATTGATTGATTATTATATTAGTCAGAAAAAAGCTTTATGTGGATATTCAACAACGACAGATTTAAATGAAATACAACAAGAAATTAGAAGCAATGATTCTGAAGAAAGTGGCACAATTACAAAAAGAAGTTTAGAAAATGCTATGGCACTAGTATTAATAACACCAGGAAAGCAAGTTTCACTTACTGAGCTGGTCAAACACAGAAAATATCCAACTAAAACTTTTGCAGCAGCCCTTGAAGAATTAGAAAAATTGAACATAGGTAAGTGTGTATCTGATAGATGGATACAAAGCTGACGGTCACAGTGTACTAGTGTGAAGAAAGTTATTTACAATTCCGTTATGTACATCGAACTAGGGGTGCTACTTCAGAGATGTTGGAATTGTAGAAGTAGTACTATTTTGTGTATTTAAAAATTCTAAAGTTCTAGTTTACGCCTCTCCTTTTTCAACTGCTTTTCTTACCCGACGTATCCGTGTCTCTATAACTATGTGAGTAAACGTAGATGGTTTTATTACTGTAGATTGATAGAATTTTTCCGTTTTATTTCGGATTTAAGAATCTTAAACACTTAGATTTTCGTATTTTTAGAATATTAGATTTCTAGAATTTTAGAAT